ACGCCCGGAATGGTGGACTGCGGACCCGGAACAGAAGAAAAGAAATGTCATTAGTAACCATCGAAAACTCAGCAAAGCAGTCCATAAGAAACAACCCTTGGAATTATTATTAAAAGAGAAAAAAGAATTAAAGGAACTATATTCTAAAGCAATACAAGAAGCATCTACTAATAACTTTAAGGAGTTCTGTAAAAAACAAACAAAAGAGGATGTGTGGTCGGTGACAAACCGAATTATTCGGACGATACCGATCACACAACCCCTAGCAACACTAAAAAAATCAGACGGAAACTTCACTAGTAACAGTGCCGAAACCTTGAAATATCTTATAGAAAACCTCTTTCCTGCCGACAACAACGATAACGTCAAACAAGCACAAACTAGAAACCAAATGCACACTCTACCTGATACACCTAAAGAACCAGAATTCACCCAAATCGAAATCCTTGAAGCATTCAAAACCATTAACAGTAAAAAGGCCCCTGGACATGACGGTTTGACTGCGGACATATGCGGAATAGTAGCCGAAACATGTCCAGAAATTATTGTTTCTATATATAAAAGAACCTTTCAACTTCAATACTTTCCGAAATCCTGGAAGAAAGCAGTGGCGAAAATTATACCAAAACCGGGAAAGGAAAATTATTCCTCTATATCATATCACATCTATATCACCCAGCATCATACCGACCCATTGGACTCCTTCCAGTTTTCGGGAAGATATATGAAAGACTTCTAGTGAACCGACTAGTATACTACCTCGACACCAACAACTATATAAAAATAATATAAACCAATTTGGATTCAAGCTGCAAAAATCAACTTCCATGGCAATTAAGCAAGCAATGGACATTATCGAAACCGCCAAACGCCGAAGAAAGCAAGTAGTGGCTGTGTCTTTAGACATCAAAGGCGCATTCGATAATGCCTGGTGGCCGGCAATTTGTGAACGGCTCAAATATATTAAATGTCCCAAAAATATTTATTCGACAATACTCAGCTACTTCAATGACAGGGAGGTACTCATTAGACTGGCCGATGAAGAATTCACCCGTGAAACCACCCGAGGATGCATCCAAGGATCAATATTTGGTCCAATTATGTGGAACCTAATTCTCGACAGTCTGCTGGATATTTCTCTGCCAGAAGGAATGCACCGACAAGCATACGCAGACGATCTTTTACTGATTGCGCACAACAAAATTTAACTTCATTAGAAAACAATATAAACCAGACTTTGAATAAAAGAGCAGATTGGGGCACAGAAAACAAATTAAAATTCAGTAACGATAAAACACAGATTATTTCATTCACAAATAAATCAAAGAATATAAACATCAAAATGAATAATAGTAAAATTAGCTTAACTAAATCAATTAAATATCTAGGAATCCATATTGACGAAAAACTTACTTTTACCAAGCACACAGAGGAGCAGCTTATCAAATGCAAGAAAATCTATAACAAACTCAAAAATTATGTCCGCCCAACTTGGGGCGTATATCCGGAGAATATCAAAACAATCTACAATCAGGTCATAGTCCCAATTATGTCATATGGATCAATAATCTGGACCAAATCACTGAAATATAAATATATTAACAAAAAACTGCTATACTTTCAAAGATCCATATGTATCCAAATCGCTAGAAGCTTCAGAACCATAAATACACCGCTGTCAATAGTCTTATCCCAACTTCCTCCACTGCCCATGCAAATCAAGGCCATAGCTAACTGTGAAAAAACTAAAATGGATGAATCTTCTCCGTATCTACCAGATGACATAACCTTAGAAACCCCCGCACATCCTACAATGAGATTACACCCTGTTAACCGAAAGCCTGTTAAATACTACACAGCTAATGACCGGGACGAGCTTGAGGAGGTATTCTTACTGCATACAGATATTACATATTACCTGTATACAGATGGCAGCAAGTTCAATGATAATGTCGGTGCTGCTGTTGTGATACAGGATCCGGAAAGTAACATAAACAAAAAAATCATTAAACTACATGGTTCATGCTCAGTCTACCAAGCAGAGCAATTGGCAATAGCTACAGCTTGCAAGTGGATAAGAGATCAACGAGTAAGTGCATTCGTTGTCACTGACTCACTTTCCACATTACAGGACTTATGCAATACCAATACATTTAATCCACATGCAGTCAAGACTTTAAAATGCATTCACGACATAGAAAGGAATGGACAACAAATTAAGTTCGTGTGGGTTAAAGCTCACAATGACATCCCTGGTAATGAGCTGGCGGATATGACTTCAAAAGAGGCGGCTGGACCAACAACAAATATTAATTATGCCAAATTCCCTCTAAGCTATGTTAAACAAATAAATCAAAAGTCACTTACTAATGAAATTACTAATCTGTATAATGAAGTAGATAACTGTAAATACACCAAGCAGATATTTCCAGATTATGCATCTTTAAAGAAATTTATAGATAAAGTTCCACCAAATTTCAGGACTCAGGACATGGTTACCATAAAGCTTACTTACACAGATTTCATATAACACAAGATCCTTTTTGTCCCTGTGATTCAAACACCATTCAAACGATGGAACATTTATTATACTATTGTCCAAAATATTTCAATACAAGGTATGAATTTGAGACTATATGTCGAATAAATAACATAGACTTTAAAGATTGCAATGAAATTATAAAAAAAGTGGAAACACGGAATAAATTTATGATACATTTAAATGAAATTATTTATAGCCTCAAAAAATTTAATAACACATAATAACACATAATACCACATTTATATTCTATTTATAATTTTACAAAACATTATACTTATTTACAAATCTACAAATTTACCACTTATACACATGACATCTTATTTGCATTCATTTACATATAAAGTTATATTAATATTTATATAACAAAACCCCCTTATCATATATAATTTTACTTCTCATTATAATAATTATTTTCAAATATTTCAATATGCATCTTGTTAAATTTCGATATAGTCAATAGCGTCGAAATTTAATAAAATTAGTATCTATTTGCTTTTATTTTCAAAAAAAAAACATAACTCCTTCGTTTTTATGTATTTATATAGAGAGATTTAAAGGATCTGAAACGTCAGAAATTATATAAAAAAAGTTATTCAATCATGTGATGTGTGTTTTGTTATACGAGTTATTTTATAATATAATTTATTACATTCGAGAGCAATGAATAAAGAATCCTAAAAATCACGCAAACTAAGAACGCTAGCTTAATGGAATAAATTGTGTTTAATAGACAATTAAATACTCCATAAATGAAAGTACTAAAATTTTTGAGTCACTCCATTTTATTAACAAAAATATATAAAGAAAAAACTGGCTGATCTCGCCTTAAAACAAAAATAGGAAACATGACATTTTTGAACAATATTATGACTTTCTTGATTTTTTTTTAATTTTTGTGTGAAAATCTTAATGCTGTTCACAGTATACATCTACGTACTAAGTTTCAACAGTATAGTTTCGGAAAAAAGCGGCTGTGACATACAGACGGACAGACAGAAAGACAGACATGGCGAATCCATAAGGATTCCGTTTTTTGCCATTTGGCTACGGAACCCTAAAAAACAGTAAAAAAGTCACCAGTCAAAAACAGTAAAATGTCACCAGTCAAAGTCACCAAATAAAGTGAATAGCTTTCTTAAAATATACGAAATTTCTTTTTAAAATTTTGTGATTGTAGTAAATAACAGGAGCCTGACTGTGAAAAATGTATGGGTGCCAAATACAAGCACCGCTTCTTTTGCAACAGCAAAACGGTTGTTAATATTTCGCACGCTTAATGATATACTGACATAACTCAAAAAAGACGTTTTTCGAGAAATCGCAAAAAACGATTTTGCAAACCGGACTTACCTTACAAAATGCTTTATTACTCAAAGAAAATAGCTTTATATAAAGAAATAATGTATTGAAGGAATAGTTGATAAAGTGAGTATTGTATTTAAATATATTTTTTAAAGAAATGTAAACTTTTTAATATAAATTAGTCGGTTAAAAAAATTATTCCTCAAGATGCGTCAGTTTAATATAAAAGATAAAGTTACATTGATTTAATACTGGTGACACATTTTGAAATGATTCAGTGTTTTATTTAATATATAACTAAATAATACTCGTTATTAAGGTATGGGTCTTTATACTATGAATTAAAATTTTAATACTGTAGACATATTTTGAAATGAGTCCGTATTTTATTTAATGTATTCTTCTCATTGTTATGATAATGAGTCTATAAGGCATATAAAATAAAAGATAAGTATACAAAATATTTCGTTTTATTTATTTTTTTCATTAACAAAAATAATCAAAAACAGAGTAAAGTTCAAATAAAATGCTGACTTGTGTCAGTCCCTACCACTAATGAGGATAAGGGCGCTTTCAATTTATGCGTTTCTTGACGGCCTGCTGCGGTGCCGAAGCGGTGCGTTTGTCGTACAGCGTACGGACGATCCTTTTTTTCACACAAAACGCGCGGTGCGGCAACGGTGCGGCGCCGGTACCGCGAACTCTCGTCAACAGGACTGTTGCCGCACCGCAGCAGGCCGTCAAGAAACGCATAAATTGAAAGCGCCCTAACAGTAGCCTCATTGGTGCATGGTAGGGACTGACACAGGTCAGCATTTTATCTGAACTTTATTGTACCTTGTACAAAACAATTGTGAATTATATTGTACTTTATTGCAAAACTTTAATTAACAGTAAATCTTGTATACAACAACAGTCAAGTAATAATTAACTGTAGGTACGTATTCCTCTACTTTTATGTAGTATTTGACTTATACAATGCATAAGTCACATACTACACTGAATCTTAATACTTTGGTTAATAAAGATTTTGAATTGAATGATTGATATTTGAATTGAACTTAATACTTGTACAATATTTAAATACCTTATTACACAATTTGTATACACAGGGAAGTAGATACTTTAAAATCAACTCTGAAAGAAACTCTGACATAATGTAATTTAATAACTTTATAAAAAAGCAGTAAAAACCTGTCCTAGGTTATAAAATTAACGAATTAAACTTAACGAAGAGATCAATATTAAATTTACAATATTAGGAGTTACTTTTAATTTATCGGAAATTTAAAAACAAACCGTAAATCTGAATAACGATTCTCAAGGAAATAACAATAGTCACACTTATTATCTATTTAACAACACGATAATACCTAATTGTACTTATTTATTAATTATGAGATCATTTTTTTCAATATTAGGCACTTAATCAGTAACTACAAGACCTAACATACAAATTTTTTGCACCATGCAAGTATTCACCCTGATTACAGAATCGTATCATAAAAATCTTTATAAAAATTGGGTATCAAATTTTTATCAAGTAACTCTTTTAAATCCTTTTTTTTATTTTCACCGAGCGTTTGCTTGCCCGTGTATGCTTTTACTGTTATCAGCTCTGATAGGGGATTCATTTTTTTTCTTTTGTTTCTTACGTTAATCTTTTCAAATTCTGCATCTTTGTTGTATGATGTTTTCACATAGAATGAAAACGGTTCACTTTTTATTACTTTTATAACTTTGATATCATTCCATGATAAAACTTTTTTATCTTCAGTTTCATTAAAATTGTATCCCCAATTTTGCTGCAGTTCTTTTAGGTCTAAAAATGAATCGTATGTAAGTTCATGTACGCGGAACTTTTGACCAGTCTTTTTGGCATTTTTAATAATGGTTACATATTGGTGGGGGCAATAAATAGGTCCTGATTTTAAGTTCTTTTTAATTTCTTTTTCGATCAGGCTATGAATATTGTCACCCTCATTTTGAGTATGACCTTTAATTAAGAATTTATGTGTGATTGATTCTATATCCAGGTGGGTTACAGCATATAGATAAAGCGCTACTATATATTTATTCTTATTTTGACCACAACAGTTGTCTGAATACAGAATCAAGTTCAGGCCATCACTATTACTAGCACTTACCCCTGCTTCACAACATAGTCTCTCAAAGCAATCCAATAAACTGGAGCCTATCTCATTAGCACCTCGTTTAGCATCAGTTTCATTCCAGAAATAGCAGTGTACATCAGTATAAGAATCTTTCATCTGGGCTTCAACTTTTTTGTTTAAGAGTGTGATGGTAAAGTTATAACTATTTAATTTAGATTTATAATAAAAAGCTGATGTATCGCCTCGTGGCGATTGTAACACCGCCTGCAAGTCGAACACTAAGACTTTATTTTTGTCATCTATTTTGCACCGGTCATCATGTTTTTCATTACGACATAGCTTTTTTTCTTTTATATGAGCTATATACTTATCATGAATCATACTTTTTTGCTCGGCGTTTGAATTTGTATACTGTAGACAAAGATCGCATTGGTCTTTTTGCGGACAAAAAAATGAAATATTAAATTCCTTAGTAAATGTACAGTAAAACATGCAATACTTACCATAGGGCTTACTATTCTTCTCTTGCGCTACCTTGAAGTCGTTGAAGAGATCTGTAATAGTTTTGCCGCCGTCTATGTATTCGCGAGTAGATGTTTGCCTTGTGTAGTGTGACGGAACCCTTGGTATTGAGTCTATAAAAGTTTTAATGTCTGGAATGAGTGTTTCATCAGTAGTGGTGTGGTTGTCGTGTTTACCTCTTCGATCATTTTGCAGAACTCCATTGTTTTGACACTTCTGGATTACTGTACGAATTACACGATCGGATATATTCAACGTACCAACAAAAAATGTTTTACAAACCCGGATTGATATACCATTTACTATAAAATTAAAAGCTTTATTAGCTTGCCTCGGGCGCATGGCGTTTGAATATTTATACCTAGGAGTGACATCGGACATACAAGACTGAATAAACGATCGCTGCTGATTTACTTCACCAATATTCCAATAAGCATCAAAAATAGCCTGTCTTTGAAGAGATGTAAATTTTTCAGAACATTTAAGTCTGCACTTATCTGTACAAGGTGGTTTCACTTCACGAGCTGCAACAGTTTTCTTTTTCGCGGTCTCATAGGAGCGTCCAGAATTTCTTAGAATTTTATTTATGTTTTGTTTCCATTTTTGAGGATTACTTGTGCGCTTTCTACCTTTCTTCTTAATAATCTCTGTTTGTTCTTCTATGTTGAGTTCGTTCATTTCAGAGTTTTCAATTTCACTTGTTTCTTGTCCGTTGGTTGATTGTCCATTAGCTGTAGTATCTACATTATTGATAGTATTTTCATCCACATGATCGGAAGTAGAAGGTTGTATCACTGTATCATCATCAGAAGATGAAGAACTGCTGGAGCTGCTTGAACTGGAGGATGAAGTGCTGCTGGAGCTAGATGATGACCGACGTGATGAAAGATGTACTGGTTCTATTTTCTTTCTTTTTATTTGACTATTATAGCTCGGATCGTCATTGTCGCTGATATCTGGACTGATTTCACCAGAATGTACGGGTGAAACATTGTAGTCAACTTGGACTCTTTTACGGCTAGAATATTTATGATGATGAGTAACCTCGCTTTCAAAAAAGTCCTTAGCATTGTAATAACGCTGGTTTTCAGGTTTATTGGTAATATCACATAACATCTGTAAAAAAAGAATAGGTATTTGAAGATTCACGTGTTAGATAATATACACATAAGGTCATTAACAAGCTAAAAACAAAACATCGAGGCGGCTGTATAATTATTGTACACTTAAAAATGGTTGATTCAGTGATGTTATTGCTGCTTCAATACCTCGTACTTGATTTTTGTAATGTAGGTTTTATATAAAATACTGTGAAAATCTATTGCTAGCACTAAATTACATAATTTAATAGAATATTTCATAAATTGCGGGTAGTCGGCGAAATCTTTGTACACGTGTTCTGAACGGCCCGATGACGTTAGTTGTTTGTCGCTGCCTTTAAAAGGCCGAGCTCCAACCTTTGCGGGGCGATTCTGTATCGAGCCATCGGACCGAGCGGAGCTCTGAGTTAAGTAATCATTTTCATATTGTTGTTTATAACTTTTATCGGAATTATATTTGTATAATATTGTAAGTCCTAATCTAATAAGGAAATTTATTTAGATTAATAAAATGTATGAGTTTACAATTACAAAAAGCTTAGAACTACCTAATATCTAAAAATAATATATCTTTGCCATTTACAATAGAAATTACTTCTGTAATCTTAAAAATTAAAATAAGAGACTATTTGCGAGTAAAGATTTTATACTTCGTTTTGGTATTTTAATTTTAATAATCAATAAATAGTGTACTTTAAACATTTAATAATTTTGAAAGTAGTGATTTCCCTTATAAAATAAAGAAATCTGAATCTATTGAATAGTTTTATTTCCATTCCATTTGCTTTTATTGCTTTATATAAGTTTCAAAGTGTTTATAAAATTAATTATTAATGCCAATGCTAACATCAGAAGTGGGATAAACAACCTATTCTCATAAAACTAATATAATTATTTGTTTCATAATGAATGTCGGAGAAAAACGGAATCTGCTGAAGGTAATCAGCAATGCTTTCACTACACCGAGTGAGAAGGATGACGACGTGGCACCATCAGTCTTCAATCCGGATAATGATTCCGGAGCGGCTGGCTGGTGAGACAGCATCGAAGTCCTGACAAAGGAGTTCAGTCGGAGCAATATCACGACAGCTGCTAAAGGAGGTAAGGCCGTTAAGGGCCCTGATTTAGCGTGGTTCGAAACGGGAACCTGTAGAAGGAAGATTAAGGGTTTTTTTTATGTTAATGTAATAAATTCTTACCCTGTAAAGAGAAATCTGTGTGAGAGATTCACTAAAGCAGTTTTGTATTCTTCTAATTTATCTGATTCTTATAGTGATTATGTAGAAATAAAGTAAGGTTACTGGGTAAAACATTTTGTTTTTGATGCACAACTTATTGAATTAATCTGAAATTTCTTGACCATGTCTTGAAAAGTTAAGAAAAATAAAAATCTAGCCAAATTCGATATCCAAGACGAGACAAGACATATGTTATTACGTTTCATTTACCATTTTTATATTAAGACTGATAAAAATTTAGTTGAAAATAAAAGAAAATACGGCAACAGTGTTTTTAATGTTTTAATAATTATATTCCAAGACCATAACCAATGGCTTGAGATCAAAAAGGTTAGATAATAATTAGAAATCTTTCAGTTATATTCAAAATTTTATTGTTTTGTTACCATGGACATTTTCTGACTCTGAAGTTTAATTCTATAATGATAAATACAGGTAAGGTTTATATTATGAACTTCACAACTAGAAAATTACGAATAACTATAATAATCAGACATTTATTTTAGTTTAGAAAGCTAAACAGTGCAAAAAAAATATATTGATTGAAAATTGTTCACTATTTGGACAGATAACAAAAAACGAATCGAGAGGAACAAAATCTGAATTGTAAGGCCTCATATTATACACTAGTATAAGTTTAAGAACTAGATTTCCAGCTTTGTGGTTTTATCATTAATTCGTTGGCATTACTTTTAGGACTTGATATTGAAATGCACCCAAATAAACTTATAATCCAGTAGCATATACAGAACAAGCTTCTGACGAACTGAGAAACCACTTTTTTTAAGTGTTACTGACTTGTAAGCATGGCTTCATCTATTATTTTTGTGTTGTTACCTGCCTTTCCATTTATACGATACCATGCAAAAATAACCAAAAAAAAAGTAACGAATTCCCGATGTAAATACTTCAAAAATATTTTCTATGATAAAAAATAAGCGTAATAGATTTTTATTGCACCACAATGTACCCAAGAAAACAAAGTATAGACTATTGTTATTAATTGTTGTTACTTATTTCAAAAACTGTTAACATAAATTGACATAATTTTTGATCGACTCAGCACAGGTTACTTCTCGGAGCGTGTTTTCGATACTAAATAAGGTAAACACAATATGGTGGAATGACGTTCCCTGTACAAAGTATTGCCAATATGTTAAATGTAGTTTATCATTAGTTTGAATTTTCTATTTGGCAAAGGACATGGCTAAGAAACTGCCCTTAACGTGTATAAGGATCGCATTAGCCCATAATTTTGTGTAATTTTTTTTATTAATTATTACGTGTTTATAATTCTCTTACAACTTTAGTGAAAGGCCCTTATTTTTATTATAACAAATACTAGATGTTGTTTTTCTGATCAGGCTTGAGAGAAGGCTGTATGTTAATTAATGCTTTGATTTTTGCAAATGAACAAAATAAAACTTCACAGATTTCATGTCAGGCCGACAGCAAAAAAATTATTTGTATATAATTTTACTTTTAAAAATACTTTTTGTGAAGTGTTAATCAGATAAATGTGAAGATATATTCTAAGATGATAAATGCGAAATTTATGGCTCTGTAAATAATTCAGCCATTCTGCATTATATATAACTAAGTACAATATTTATACATTGCTAGAGCAGTCGCTTATACAAAATTTTACCATGTTCTTTGGGTAAAAAAAAAGAGGAATAACGTTTTTGGAACTTTTTCGCGAGATAATGTATCTGAACTCAATGGTTTCAAAACACCATTTTACTATATTTTTACTCAACAACTATCGATTTAGTTCTTAAAATTTAAAGGGGTTCTTGAAAATATAATGATAAAAATCAGCTTGAAAATTATGAGATAATGAGACAAATGTTTTTTTTATACATTTCAAACTCTAGTATTTTAGTTTTTTTAGTTTCCCAAAGAAATGGATTGGTTTTGTAACTGTTTTATATATATATATATAATTGGTAATTTGATAAATTGTAAAGATACTAGTACCAATATCGACCTGTAAACCTTAGTCTTCTGCAAAAATGTGGGACACCAAAAAAAACCAATGGTCAAGTATTTTGAACAACGCTCATTGGCAATGTTGATGGATTCGCAAGATTTTGTCTATAAAAACCACTTGAATTTTATTTTATTCATTTGGAGTTAAATTCCAGAATAATAGTTTGATAGGTACCTACTTCGAGAAAGAAGTACTAGTCAGTTTGGCTGTTACAAATTATGTTACTTTGGGGTATGAACACTGTTTTCACATGTATTTTTGACAAATTTTATACATTGGTTGATATAAAATCTCGTTGGCAGTTATTATAATAATCTATAAATATTAGATGTACCCACAAGGTTATTATTGATCTTGCTATCTTATACAAACAAAAATATACAAATAACAAATAACAGTTAATTTATTCAATTGCTTAATTAAAAGCTTTTTGTAATCATTAATTCCATTATTAAATATATCAATAAAATTGAATTTATTATTATATGAATCACAGGCTCGGTACAAAAATGTGTTGGAAGTAAATTTTGTCTCAACAAAAGGTACACTAAACAGGCTGTTAGACCTAGAGTTTAAACGGGAACACGAATGTTACTCAAAAGAAAAGGAGAATAAGGACTATGGAGTTAAATAATAGAATTAAAATGGAACATCTTAAAGTCTTTGCTAACCCTTAGAACGAAACCTAGCATTGGATAAGCTTTAAAAGTTATATTTTCAATGTGATCATTAATCGATTATTTGCTGTCTAGAAGAAGTCCCAGGTTCCTAACTAAAGCAACATTCAAGGACTGATCAGTTGGCTGATAATTATCTAATATTTTGGTTTTTTTTTCCTTTCTAGTAAAACTTGTAACACAACATTTATTTACGTGATAGATATGCTTAATACTACCTGCAATGGTTCGTCAGATTGGCCAAGCGGTTTGTGGAAATTACAACAATCTTTAAATACCTATATTCAAAATTCGACAAGATTTACATCAATTCTTTTACTTATTGGCCGTAATGCAAACATTCCATGAATTCAGTATCGTCTTAATTATATAGGAGTTACGGAAAATAACACAGACATTAGATCAGATCGTAATTTAGCTCAGCGGCGTTTACATTTTGACAATTGTTAGGGGAGGACAATAAGGGTTTTGAGATTGGTAATATAGTGTTATGTTATCAGGATCGTAGACGTCATAAAAATTAAGACCGAAATTTAGGGAACCGTACGAAATTATAGAGATTTCGAATAATGATCGTTATAGTTTAAGGGGTAGTGGTCAACGGAATCATGTAATTTCTAAGGAGTATTGTAGTAGCCAAGGGGAATTGGCTGAACAAAATTTATCATTCGAGAATCGGCCGTAGCTTTGAAAATATATATATATAACTGTTAACCATTACACAACGGATAAAATCGCAACCCGGCACATACTGCAAGACCAACAGATACTGTTAGTTCTTTTTGTTTGCATGATTTAACATAAAAGGGAGATAGAAAGCCTCTCTGAGTTTGTTTCGCTGGTTCTTCTCGGAAAGGTCTCCCAACTTTGGAACCGGTGGTAGTTTACGGTAGATAGGGTCAAATAAAGAAACTCAAAATTATGTAAAAGAATTAAATAAATCACTTTATTAATTAAATTAGCTAATAAATTCAAACATAGACAATAAAGTTTTAAAAATCTTCCAATGAAAAATCCAAACGCTCAATAAAAGTCTTAAGGCAGCTCGACAAAGTAAATAAAATACAGTTATGTTCTAAAATCGATTTATGAAATATGTTGTTAGTATAAACAATGAGATTAAATTATTATGATCATATGTACCTGTAATATTTTATGATATACCAATAAAAGTTTAGAGTATAAAATTTAATATTTGATTAAAATATTTGTGCATGGTATATTGGTATAACTATTGATTAGTTTTTCTTAAACCACTCGTAATATACTTTGAAAAAATGTGATACCGACGAAAAGTTTTAAATTTTACCAGATCCTATGATTGTGTTGTAAAACCACCACTGCTGGTCTACCACTGCCCTGATATCAGTTTGAAATTCATATGCAGCAGGTGATGGGAATATTATGACAGAGACTTACGATATAATATGTATACTGCTGGTCAGTCACTGCCCCGATGCTAGTCTGGAATTCATGCGCAGCAGGTGATAGGACTAGTATGTCAAGGCCAGAGACTATGATATATATTTGTATACTGCTGGTCAGTCACTGCCCCGATGCTAGTCTGAAATTCATGCGCAGCAGGTGATAGGACTAGTATGTCAAGGCCAGAGACTATGATATATATTTGTATACTGCTGGTCAGTCACTGCCCCGATGCTAGTCTGAAATTCATGCGCAGCAGGTGATAGGACTAGTATGTCAAGGCCAGAGACTATGATATATATTTATATACTGCTGGTCAGTCACTGCCCCGATGCTAGTCTGAAATTCATGCGCAGCAGGTGATAGGACTAGTATGCCAAGGCCAGAGACTATGATAAATATATGCTTTTATACAATTGAATGTGACTATGACTGTGACTATGACTGTGACCATGACTGTGACTGTGACTATGCCTGTGACATAAGGTCATAAACAAGCTGAGTTGATCGCTAGATCTTATTTAAATAAAGTTACCCTGTAAAACAATTTTTAAAGTGATCACATTATTTCAAAGTGTACTTCGAGAACGAAGTACATGTCAGAATGGCCGTGTTAGATAATATACACATAAGGTCATTAACAAGCTAAAAACAAAACATCGAGGCGGCTGTATAATTATTGTACACTTAAAAATGGTTGATTCAGTGATGTTATTGCTGCTTCAATACTCGTACTTGATTTTTGTAATGTAGGTTTTATATAAAATACTGTGAAAATCTATTGCTAGCACTAAATTACATAATTTAATAGAATATTTCATAAATTGCGGGTAGTCGGCGAAATCTTTGTACACGTGTTCTGAACGGCCCGATGACGTTAGTTGTTTGTCGCTGCCTTTAAAAGGCCGAGCTCCAACCTTTGCGGGGCGATTCTGTATCGAGCCATCGGACCGAGCGGAGCTCTGAGTTAAGTAATCATTTTCATATTGTTGTTTATAACTTTTATCGGAATTATATTTGTATAATATTGTAAGTCCTAATCTAATAAGGAAATTTATTTAGATTAATAAAATGTATGAGTTTACAATTACAAAAAGCTTAGAACTACCTAATATCTAAAAATAATATATCTTTGCCATTTACAATAGAAATTACTTCTGTAATCTTAAAAATTAAAATAAGAGACTATTTGCGAGTAAAGATTTTATACTTCGTTTTGGTATTTTAATTTTAATAATCAATAAATAGTGTACTTTAAACATTTAATAATTTTGAAAGTAGTGATTTCCCTTATAAAATAAAGAAATCTGAATCTATTGAATAGTTTTATTTCCATTCCATTTGCTTTTATTGCTTTATATAAGTTTCAAAGTGTTTATAAAATTAATTATTAATGCCAATGCTAACACACGCAATTCGAACCGATGGCTATACAAAGTTTAAAAAGTCATGATTCATCTAGTATTCACAATTACACCCCCTAACGGGTACCTAAAATAAAATATGACAGGAAAACTTAATGACTCGACGAAGTCGCGTGCACAATTCTAGTTTAAAGATAAAATACCATAATAAAAAGGAATAAACCTGTCGAAAGAATAAAATAATAATTACGACTACTTACCACGATATCAACTGCAACATTCTGAACTGAACTATCTTCATCTATGTCAAACGCCACTTTGTTGCTATCAGACGTATTATTTAGAAACGGAGATTGACTAGGGTCTGGGTTTAGAATGGGATCTTGAATTTGAGCTTCTGTATCGTCACGAGAAGGTTCAGTTGTAGAATTAAGCAATTCCATTATCTTTTTCGACCTTGAAGACATTCTGAAAAAAACTTAGGTTACTTTCTTATTTCTTTTAAACAAATTATTTTAATCCATTAGTGACACAATATCTAATCTGCATTCAACAATTTTATACTAGACAAATGTGTTTTATAAAATAAAGAATCATAACAAAGTATGATTTCAGATTTCAAGAACCATTTTGTAAAAAACTGACGTAACTTCTAAATTCGACAAAACACTACCGGCAAAACGGAACAATTTTTAAAAAATATAGGCATAATACACAATCGGTCAAAGAATTATTAAAAAGTTTTTGTATAAAACAGAACTAACACTAAATAATTCGTGAATACTTCGATCCTATTTTGTACTAAATAGACATATTCAACAATTGGCCACACTTGTATAAATTATTTCAATAAAACTTACCTTTGATTTTTACACTAAAGCGACTTAACTACTAATTTGACACTTTTAAATAAACACACGTGATGTTTACGATGTTAGTCCTTGATGCATACTGATATCTGTCTCTGTCTCGTAAAAACGTTTGCCGAAAGGTTTGCGTGTGAAAGAGACAGACATAGGTATAACTCCGCCTAGAAATAAGATATTAAAAAAATTCCTAGATAGGCCGAAAGAGGGCGTTAAAATAAACATCTTAGTATACTTAACTCAACTATGACCGAAACACTAATGGGTCAGTATATGATTAAGCGTGCGATTTGTGTTTACAGATTTTTTTTCGTGTTTTTCATAGTATGTATATAGTATATATGTCGTGGCCATATCGTAGATTTGCTCATTTCATGAAATGCTCGGGTATTTCATGAAATGGTCGCATTTCATGAAATGTTTCACTATCTATTGGCCACATCATGATGTGGTTTGGGCAGATCAATGATGAGAAATCGTTTCACGATATGGCCAACTAAACGCGCGGCTTCTTCATGAAATGGCCAAAATTATTTGATCATATCGTAAAGTTGTCAAATTAGTTACCGGTAGAGGCGCTGCAAGCGCTTTGTTTATATTTGTAAATGGTGGCTGCTGCCGACAATGTTGTTTCTCGCAGTGATAAAGTGCATAATTTGTTATTAAATGAGGAAGAAAGTGATAACAAAAGGGTTTTCGACGAAAAGGTTCTCGAGTACTAATCAAGTTAAGCAAAAACTGAGTAAAATGTAAAAAAACCGTGGGTTGAATCGCATTACACAGGTTAGTACTTTACTCTTAAATTACATCATTATTCACTTATTTTATTAAAATACTTTATGCCAGTTAACGTATTGTGTTTCTATTAAATTAATATTATTCTTCGTTTGTGAATTATGACATAATAAAGGTAATGTTTTGTTTCTTTTTTAGGTTATGAAACAAATTAAGGAGAGTAGGGTGACTATGCAAAAGAAATCCATGGACTATTACTGGCTGCCAAAATATGACATTTTGGAAACTGCGGATGAAGTAAAAAGTGCGGATGAGAATCAAGCCTACTATTGGAATATGTACTAAAGTACCTTTTTATTTCCAAATATTTGTTAGTTTTCTAAATGTAAATGACGTTTACATTTGTGTAACTACATGACACGTTGATGTTTAATTTAGAAAAAAATCTTTGATTTATGTATTTTCTTAAAAAATATGATTCAATTTGTTTGTGTCATTGGGACTCAAATGACAATAAACAAGTTCTTAACATATTCTGGATTTTTATTAAATATTTTATGGACACCCTAATTATACGATCCGGCCAAATGTGGATGACAAAATCGTTAAACATTGCCGATTTAATAATCTGCTCAAAATAAATTGGCCACATCATGAAATGCGACCATTTCATGAAATACTCGAGCATTTCATGAAATGAGCAAATCTACGATATGGCCACGACATATACACAGTCAGGTCATAAGTATTGTCACACAGTAAAAACTTTTCTTTTAGAATGCTGGCCACAAAAAAGTTTATTGAATTCGAATGTCGAATTGTTCATGAAAATAAAATTGTACACTTTTTAGAATTTTACTCATTTTTAAATGGAGTGGACGCTTAAAGAACACCGTGTTGCAGTTATTGCGTTGCATCGTTGAGGTTACGCACCAATTCAAATTTTTGACATACTGAAAAAGGACATTGTTCAGCGTCCATACATAGTTAGCCTAAGAACCAACAATCATGAAATATTATTTTCTAGGTTCAAAATCGTAAGTAAATAACTGTAAAAACAAAGATTATTGACGGACATTTCTGAGAACTTAAATTATTAGGAAAACTTATTTTTTTTTGAGGTTATGTTTAATATTCAATGAAACATAGGTCAACCTATGAATTTAGTATAAACTCAGTATGAAGTGAATTAATATTACAACTAATTCATTTTATTCGGTGCGATTATAAAGAACAACTATTAGGAAAAACTTGGTTAGGTAGGAATCATGAATAAAATAAAAACTGTAGTTTTGCTTCTTTTTTCTTGACTATTTTTCACATAGTTGTATCATATTTGAATATTGTATTTATTTGTATATCACATGTATATTGTGTAAATATGCAGCGTGAATGTGTATCGGGTGTTGTGTTCTTGAATAATTAAGCAGTATGATCCTCTCAGGATGTTGTGGCACAGGTTCACTAGCACTTGGTTATAGGGGCTCTTCTCTTTGGTAACATCGATGGCATATTAGATAGCCAAAATAGTTAAATTTAAGGAAAAACAATCGCAAATAAACACACAACAGGTAATCCGAAACGAGAATGCACTTTCCGGTATAATAAACTACTCTTTGGAATGTACGAATGCCACGGATTACTACGAATGCAAACTGCATGCACCACAACCACTGAGTTAACGAGTTTTATGCCGGCTCTTCACTTGACAACAGTTTGTCCTTGTCATGCTTAATAAGGAATGAAAAGGACACACTGATGTCATGTTTTAAAATAGCAAATACGAATAGCCAAGTGAAGTGCCGGCATCAGGAAGAAAGAGTGTTTTGTTTGCAGCGCTGCCATAGATTATACACATAAAATGGTATTTATTGTCTCAGATTATTTTTTAACTTTTTAATTTAGCTTACTTAACTGGAAGGACACTTCCAGGACAATCACAATCTAAATACTGATAATTATCGCAAAAAATATACTAAGAATTATTATAAATGCCAAATTGGTGTTGGTTCTTAGGCCAATTTTAACATTGTCCTTTGAATATAACGAAAAGATTGGTTTATCGTACCATCAAACGATACTCTAGTGTAGATGACAGGACAAGAAGTGGTCGCCCTCGGTCTGTTAGGACTCCAGCAGCGATAAAAGCTGTGAAGGCGCGAATTCAAAGAAATCCCAAACGTAAGCAGAAACTGTTGGCCCTTCAGATGGGGTTAAGCAGAACCACGGTGAAAGTTAAATGAAGACTTAGGGCTTCGGGCATATCGAAGAAAAACAGGACATCGTTTGAATGCTCGTCTAATGGACCTGAGACTGAAGAGATGCCGCGCTTTGTTGAAGCGGTACGCGGGAAAAAAATAGGAGTTTCTTATTGGGGTTTAACAGAGGTACATTTTTGTGAGAAAGGTGTAAAAACGAATGCAGTTGTGTATCAAAATACAATCCTGACGAACCTTGTGGAACCTGTCTCTCATACCATGTTCAATAACAGGCACTGGGTATTCCAATAAGATTCGGCGCCAGCTCATAGAGCGAAGAGCACACAAGACTGGCTGGCGGCGCGTGAAATCGACTTCATGCTGCACGAAGACTGGCCCTCCTCCAGTCCAGATTTGAGTCCGTTAGATTACAAGATATGGCAACACTTGGAGGAAAAGGCATGCTCAAAGCCTCATCCCAATTAGGAGTTACTCAAGACATCCTTGATTAAGGCAGCCGCCGATATTGACATGGACCTCGTTCGTGCTGCGATAGACGACTGGCCGCGCAGATTGAAGGCCTGTATTCAAAATCACAGAGGTCATTTTGAATAAACTTTATTGTCATAAGAATCTATGTTTTTGTTAAGTTAATTTTGGTAAATAAATGGTTACATAATGAATAAACTTGTTTCAATTATTTTATATTAAACATGTGACAGAATTTATGACCTGACTAGGTATAATCATGATAAGAAAAAACCAATGAAGCTATTTTCTTGAATTTTAATACTTCGTATTGCCTCCTCGTGCTTCCATTACTGCGTTTACCCGGTTTGGCATGCTGTACACCAAGTTTCGTATACGATTTTGGGGAATATTCTACCATTTCTCTGTGAGCAATTGATATCCGGGCTGCGTGCTGGCCACTCCATAAGAGCAACGTTCATCTCTTGACGGTAGTCATTCACAATCCAACCTGTATTTGGTCGGGCTTTGTCATGCATAAAAATAGCATCCTCACCCAAATTGACTATAAATGGACCAACGTGTTTATTCAAGATTTCTTTCAAATATCGCACGTCACAAACAATAGTACAATAATATTAAGTCGGAAAAATCGTTTATTTTTTTATTTGCGTTTTGAAAACTACATTTTTTTCTCCATAAGAACTGGTAACATAATTGTATTTTCATGCTAAATAGTTTTTGAATTATAGCAACACATGTCTTTCTTGACTGTTCATGAACGTCATTTTCGAGACAGTCAAGACAGTCGCACGTTAGTTATGACCCAGTCCAGTCGTCAATTTCTAGGCAAAATATAAAATTGCGAGTATTGTAAACAGTAATATGTTAAGTTAATACCCTATTGCCCGTTCGGATTATTACAAGTTTGAAGTTTTTTTTAAATAATACCTTCTGGCCTATTAAATTTAATTTAAAATGTTTTTTTCTACGAAATTATTTTAAAATGATCTCTTATAGCCCCCGATTTGCTTGCGATAATCCTACACTACTTGTCAATTTTATTCTGCAGCAAAACATAACTTCTGTACTTTATAATATCAACATAAAAATTTAATATTCTTTTGCAAAATAAATGGGCACCTAAGGAAATTTACGTTGTAAGGTCGATTTCAGTTAATTCAATGAAGTTTAACTGTTAAACGTAGTCTGTATACTTATAATCGTCTAAATTAATACGCGTGAAGTGAATTCTAGCAATTGTTTTTATAAATTTTCGATGACCGTGTACATCGGTTATAAAGAATACCGATGTACATGGTTAAACAATAAAAAGTGGTCGGCAATAAAGACAAGAAGATTGTTTTACTTTTTTTAATTAAATAAAGATAAAAGTGTAAAAAACCTAATAACGAGTGTGACCTCTTTCCAAACTGGTGACACAGCTAAAATCCTTCTGGGCATGCTTTCCACGATGTTTTAGTAACGTTTTGAGGAATATGTTCCCACTGTTCTGCAATGACTTTTTTTATCTCCCTGATGTTTTGTGGAGCAGGTTGCATTGACCTTACCCGTCTCTTTAGAACATCCCAGGCTCAATTGGATTGAGGTCAAGATTTTGCGCTGGTCAATCTAAACGACGGACAACAACTTCTTGCATGTACGCTTCCACGTCGCCAGAACGGTACAGGGGAGGATTGTCGTCCCTTAAAGTGGAACCTTCCTCAAGTGCAGTCTATGCGGGCTGTGCATATGGAACCAGGACTTCCTTTATGTACCAGTGTGCATTTAATGTTCCATTTTCTATGAACAGGAACTCCATACGCTCCCAAAACATAACGGAGCCTCTGCCATAAGGAGTGTATTTCTTCGAAACAAGCTTCTGCATAGCGTTCCCCTATCTTCGCAGTACTCGCTCGCGTCGATCCTCTCCACAAAAAGAGAGGTTTCATCAGAAAACAATACTTTATCTCAGTCCTCCAGAGACCATGAAGCACAGTTTCGAGCAAACTGAAGTCAGGCAACAGGGTGCTCACGGAGTAATTTAGGGTCCAGGGCTGGACGTTAACTTCTGATATCTGTGGGCCTCCTGACAGTCCACAAGCTAACTTCTTCTTCTCTTACTTCATAAATGCTCTTGTTCAGGTCCACACTTGACGCCTTACAATTCTCCTGTCTTACCAAAAAGCGGTCATCCCTTGGTTTTGTGCAATGTTTTCTTCCCAAACCAGGTCTTTTTTTGACCAAACCGGTCTCTTGATATCGTTGCCAAGTCCTCTGGACAGTTGAATGACTCATGTTTAGCCGCTGAAACACGTAAGTTTGCGAAGAACCCTTTTCAAGTTTTTTTAATTGTTTTTTTTCTTTTATTAAGCTATTATTTATTTTTCGAAACAACTTAAGTATCAGAATATTTAAATTTGTCCAGTATTTTACAATATCTAAATAGTTAAGTATTAAACGTTTGGTAGGTGCCTAAGATGTTTATTAATACAGGCTTGGTTTTTATCAACAATCCTTACCTTTCCAATGTTTACAATTTTTTACAGTAATTTGTCATAAATAAATATTTCGAAAAAAACCTAAGATTAGAAAATCATAACAAAAGAAATAAAATAGAAATAGCTGCTTACAAATAAAACTTTTACGCGTTCACATTTTTGTAGGTTTTTAATTGTAACGCAAATAAAACTAGGTATTATCTTTTCGCATCACTGACACGGGTAAATCTTAAGGAACATCTGTATATATCACACTTTAAGTTTAAATAATGAAAAAGAGCGTTTTCTACAAATTGAGGTCATTTCGGTTGAAATGTCCACGACGTCACTATTTTTCGCGGAGCGCGTACTTCAAACTGATGTAAATAAATCTAAAGTTCAGAGAGCACTGCATTTTATTCACATCGCCATCTATGTATATATATTTTGCCTAAATTAAAGAGTCCTCAAGCAGCAAGAAGGATGCTTTCTAAAGTGTGCTTATGAGCAAAAAACAATACCGCCCACAGAGGACACTCAAGTGTCCTCGAACGTTTGACTGGAAAAACTTATATTACACTCAAGTGTCACGGGACGTTTGGGAGGGTATAAAGCTTGAAAAAAGGCATCATAATAACCGTGGTGTTTTGTATACGTGTACGTATCATAACTTTGTAGAGTTTATTCATCATTTCTATATGTATCGAATTTTTGTAATCAATCAACCCCACATAACGCGCGGTACAAGTTTCGATCCCCGGTCGGGTCATCTTATAAAATTAAATTTATTTACTCGGGTCTAGCTGATTATTTTATCGTAGTATTGGTTTGGTTTCTGGTTTTGGTTTTTTTTCTTCGCTTATAATGTCATCGAACACCAAATACGACAATTAGGGTGCTTCTACACGGTGCAAGTAACTTGCGCATGTTGAGGCCCGTGCGCAGGTTATATGCATCGTGAAAACACCGTGCAAGGCATGTGATGGTCGAGCGACTCGAACATGTACCAGAGCAAGCGCAATCCGCGCAACTAATCCATGCGCACTGCGGCACGCGCAGGTCACTTGCGCATCAATGTTACTTGAGCAGGTTAAGGCGAGCGCAAGAGCGACGCGGCTGATTCAACTTGTGCGTACTGCTTGCGCAAGTAACCCGTGTCTTTACTTGCTCCAGTCATTTCCACCTTGTTCAAGAACAAGCGAGTAACTTGTACAAGTAGCTGGTGCACACTTTTCACGCGAGTAACCGCATCTTTACTTGCTCGAGCTACTTGCACCATGTAGAATCTTCCTTAGGTTAGGTATAGCCATGACGTTTTCGAATATAAAGCCAATCCCATATTTTTTTGGCCGAAAGTTCGATCATTTTGTAGTAAGCTTTTTGAATGATTTTATTTTTGATTTGTTTTGAATATTAACTTTAGGGTATTTGCTTTAGAAGTTTATTGTTTCCAAATATTACAAATTCACCCAACATTATGACACAGACATGGGTCAGACTTTTAACGTGCCCCAGGCAGATTTTATTCAGATCGACCTTTACAAGAGGCGACAGGGAAATTTTAAATAAGCTAATTAGGCTTTTCATATTTAAAGAAATAGTGTTATAATTATTCTTAAAAAAATTAAAGGTATGCATGTTTTAATATTTGAAATTGTGTACGAATTTATTATCTATACAGGTATTGTGTTATTGCACATTTGTGCCTTGACAAGAACTGCTTTGATGGTCCGTACTCACGGTACGGTACGGTCCGTAAAATCAACGCGTAGCTTCCTACGAACAATCCTTCGAGTTATGAGATTTGCGGTCCACACGTTGTATTTTCGTCGCTTTAGACTAACACTATCGTGAATACTGTATGTGAAACGGACCCTTACACTGTTTTATTACGAGCTTGTAACGCGCCCTCGTCTGGCTTCAGTGACTGACTCTGTAGGTAGATCAATTATTTTATTCAGTCTCCTATTATATTTTAACACTTTTATGAGTTTTTTTAAGAGTTATTGGCGAAACCTGCATCGAAACCATTTGTTTGGCTTAGGAGTAATTGGCGGCTACACAAACGAGTGGCGATTTTATACAGGCCTGTCTAAAAAAGTGTAATGTTTTTAGAGTTCAAGTATGTTAAGTTAATAAATCTAAAGAATATTTTACTAAAAAAACTGAATTATGTACCGGAAGAAATTCGGTACGGCCATTTAGGTCTTGGTAGCATAATTGGTTAGTGCGTCCTCCCGGATGACGAAAGGTCGTCATCGTTCGAATATTTTTTTTAATTAATAAACACAGAGTAAATTTTTATATAATCTAGTAGAATAATGCTAAAATTTAAAAATATCATAAACTTCAAGTATGTTTATTCGTTTGTTTCTGTCTGAACATATTTGGGTGTTAGTTTATCAGGGTATCGATATCTAAGTATCATATGCATCGTCGAATTCTGAAATTCCAGAAGAGAATCAAGCTATTTGTAATTAATGCACATGCTTATGTAGGAAAGTTCCCATGTACATACCAACTATATTTTTTACTCTAGGTACTAAATAACTGCCTGTTTTAGCGGCATATTTTCACGCGCATGTCTGACCCTTTTTTCGGTCAGAATCCCAAATTGTTTTAGTAAGTAGATTTTTCCACTTAACCGCATAACGAAGTCAGAAGAGGGCACATAAGTACACTGGGCCAAATCTTATTAGGAGTGGCAGACTTCTCCACAATGTCGATGGAAATAGAAGAATATTGAATGCCCAATAAATAAGGGACGTGTAAGTATTGTCTCTTACAAACGTATTTTCGTGGTTCTAAAGTTTAATACGTGTTCTTATTGTAATGATGAACTAAACTGTTTATATTAATGAGTTGTTGCTGTGTCAATGCACGCCGGGTTTCATGGTATCGCCGACTCGAGAGGTTCCCGGGTTCGAATTCCGGTGGGGGCAGATGTTTGTGTGATGAATACGAGCATTTGTACTGTTGTTGTTTTTATTGTAATGTTTAATATGTATTTCTATATAAATATACTTATATATGTACTGTATATGTAATCTATCCGTTACCCTAGAATCCCATAACACAAGCCTTACAGTGCTTACTTTGGGGCTAGTGTAATTGGTGTAAGTGTTGGTAATATTTATTAATTTATTTATAAAAGAAAAAAAAGACGCCTTGCCGCTCGCGGACCAACCACAGCTGCTGCAGCCGAACGCGCGGCGCTCGGAGTTGTTTGGCATGCCGCGGCAGCCCGTCACCGGACCTGCCTTGGGAGACGCGCCGCCCGGCGTCAACAACCCACTAGAAGGTAACATACTGACATGCTCAGTGACGATGCCGGACGCCTTATCGCTCGTGGACCAACCGCAGCTGCTGCAGCCGAACGCGCGGCGCTCGGAGTTGTTTGGCATCCTGTGGCAGCCCGTCACCGGGCCCGCCTCGGGAGACGCACCGCCCGGCGTGAACAACCCACCAGAAGGTAACATACTGTCATGTTTAGTGACGATGCCAGACGTCTTACTGCTCGTGGACCAACCGCAGCTTCTGCAGCCGAACGCGCGGCGCGAGGAGTTGTTCGGCATGCCGCGGCATCCCGTCACTGTGCCTCCGCCTCGGTAGACGCGCCACTCGACGTCAACAACCCGCTAGAAGGTAACATGCATGCTCAGTGACGATGCCAGACGCTCGCGGTCTAACCGCAGCTGCTGCAGCAGTGTACATATAGTTTATTACCTGGATTGAGATATTGGATATCCCGGAAAAATGTAAGGTTCCTGAGGGATTCTGAAAACAAAACTGAAGTTTAGGAGGACGAAGTCGCGTAGAGCGTAGAAATAGAGTTGACAATTACTAAAAGAAGACAATCTTGTCTGCCGACTAGCTATCTAGCTGCCTTCGAAAATGATCGTGACTGATTATATAGAGTGATATTATTTAAAGGAAAAAGGAATAAATATATTTTTAATTTTAATTTAATTTATTTTTAGAAACCAACAGCGTATTAATTACAAATTTACTATATGTTTAGTTATAATGAAAGGCCAATTACAGGTCTCCTTTAAAAATTACGGTGAAACGGAGTTCGCAAAATATGTAAGTACAGAATATACGATGATTTCCATCAAGTTACCTTACTTTAACACTGCATAATAGATTACATAATAACAAGATTCAATTCAAAATTCATTCAAAATTCAATATCGTTTATTCAGTCTAGGCTGTTACAAGCACTTGTGAATGTCGAAAAGCTACGCCATCGGTTCGCAAATCTACGGCGGGAGACCTTGTACTGAGAAGAACCGGCAAGAAACTCAGCAAGGGCTGTTTTTTCTCCCTGTATTATATACAGAGTCGTCAATTTGAAAAATGAGTTCAATATGAGATAACCCATGAAGTCACTTTCCATTACAAATGTAAATGATAAAACAATTATGACTTTAAAATAAAAAATATAAAAAACAGATTTAAAAATGAAAAAAAGTTTAGGAATGCCGTGTCCCACTGTTTAGGCATAAAAACAAATGTACCATTAAAGTTAAATACAACGATTAATAGTACCCAATGTAGCAAGAGCAGACTCATCTCCGCTGGCAGCACCCGTTCACGAGCATGACGCATGAACCAGCCATCGCTTCGCTCAACCATTTTTTAGGGAACGTAACGACCCGCCTCACACGACACCGCCGAAGAGATTTTTAAGAGAGTATGACTACCCATAACCACATATGGATACTAGATAGCAAAATAGAAAAAAAAAATTAAGTACCAGTGTACATTACTATAAAAAACTATAAACACAACTATAGGACACATGCATGTGGTTACCTAAACACTAGTGTCGACTCTGCCACTACCCTCCAAACCCAAAACCAAACCCAACATCAGTGCCCCCCCTTCACTCTGTATAGAGACTGACAAGGATACACCGCTGCAAAACCAAAGTTCAGGTCTAGAGAACCATGCCAGAATCCACACCACCATTAAATCTCAGATTAATGTATTATTTTGGTTTTGTTCTTTGGAACTTTAAATTACTTCGGCATAACAAGCATCCTAATGTATCAATCTAGGTCGCAAACCATTTACGTACCAATTTTCAATCAAACTCGTTCAGCATTTTTTGCGAGATTGAGTAACAAACATACAAACCCGCACATTTATAATATTAGTGAGGCCACATAACTTCTTATTTATTAAATGTACTGTCTTCCAAATGCATACATAGGGGAAGGGGGGGCATGATGGGGTAGCTAAGGGAAATAACAAAATTACAGCACAATCACTATGTTTATTACTCTCATTAATTTATGGCATGTTAAGTCATTAATCTAACTATGATTTGGTACAGTCTTTGGAGAATCAACGTATCACATATTTTTATAATTAACTAGCGGACCCGACAGACGTTGTCCTGTCTACACGTCTTTAATTTGAAAATTTCAAACTTTTTTTAATAAGCTAAAACATTCTGGACCATTTTGATGAAAATTACCATTCTCAGATCCCCTTGAACACACACAAAAAATTTCATCAAAATCGGTCCAGTCGTTTAAGAGAAGTTCAGTGACATACACACTCACAGAAGAATCATATATATAAAGATTTGACACTGCGATGCTACGCCGTCTGTCGGATCCAATGTAAAACATTCCAAAATCAACAACTACTAATAAATTAAAAATTAATTTAAAAAATGGGTGCGTGTACTTATGTAGGCGCGTGAGAAGTTATCCTTCTTTGGCATCGTTTAAAATTAGTTTTTAATTGCATGCAAATAATTAATTACAATAAATTAATAAAAAGTCTGGAAAAGGACACAGTCAATAAAGTTCAGTTTTAATTTGAAAAAATAAATAAATAATCAAAATATTCAATTAAAATCGCTACTGAATATAATTTATTAGAACATATGTGATTTGCACTTGTATGAAATTCAAACACGTATTCCGAATATACAAACTAGAAACATGTGGATAAATATTATAAATATGAATACCTATAACTGTTACTTTATTACAAAAAATAAAGATGTGGTTTTTGGTTCTACTACACCAATGGTCAAGAGATGGCGCTGTAGTCTCCTGAATCGCGCTTTGGTTCCGTTGTTCCAGATTAATAAATACTTTTGATATTATAAATATGAATACCTATAACTGTAACTTTATTACAAAAAATAAAGATGTGGTTTTTGGTTCTACTACACCAATGGTCAAGAGATGGCGCTGTAGTCTCCTGAATCGCGCTTTGGTTCCGTTGTTCCAGATTAATAAATACTTTTGATATTATAAATATGAATACCTATAACTGTCACTTTATTACAAAAAATAAAGATGTGGTTTTTGGTTCTACTACACCAATGGTCAAGAGATGGCGCTGTAGTCTCCTGAATCGCGCTTTGGTTCCGTTGTTCCAGATTAATAAATACTTTTGATAGGCCTTCACAACGCAGTCGTTAGCACCCACTAAATAGAGATTCTATTTCTATTTTGTTGATAGATTTTCTTAATGTGCGGTAAACACAAAAGTAACGCATGAAGTTGGTCGCTAAAGCGACCAACTTCATGCTGTTAAAATTTTGTGTTACAGTGATGCGCGCGCATCTGAAAATTTCACTCTCATCATTTTTTCATAACGCGCCTAAAGAAGTATAACTTCAAAAACATTGTCCAGCGGACAAAATTGTGAATCTAAACCATTCTCAGATCCCCTTGAACACACACAAAAAATATCATCAAAATCGGTCCAGTCGTTTAAGAGAAGTTCAGTGACATACACACTCACAGAAGAATTATATATATAAAGATAATTAATAGGAACATTATGAAAAACCATCTTGCCCCATAGTATGGGGCATGATGGGGAAGGTTATTCGTTCTCACAAAACAAGCAAATGTGTATTTCTTCCAGATCTTCATCGTCCACGCCAGCAGAAGCGTTGTGATATGATATGCTAGACGTCTCAGTTCGGTAGTTGTTAGTCCAAAAAGACGCCTTTCCATATATTACAGATATGCTTCTATTTCACCTTCTTCCTTAGATGTAAATATAGATTTTTTCGGGCCTAAGGGTAAACCAATAGTAACTTCACACCCTTCCTTCATTTTCTTCACATATCGCTCTAAAGTAGTCTGAGGTACTGCGTATGCTAAAGCAGCGTTTTTGTATCCCATCTCTTTGCTCAAAACTTTATCTACAGCTATTTTCATAGAATCTATCGACCACTCCCCTCTTTTGTTTTTTTTTATGAGTACGTACCATGATTTTAACTAAAAAAGAATAAATTTATGTTATTTATTAAGAAACTTAAATGAACTTAAACCCACAACCCCATTTTGCCCCAATGCCCCATCATACCCCACACCCAATACCCCATCTTGCCTCATAAGGCCTCTCTGAACAGAAAAAAAATATCAAATAAAATGTTTAACGGATTCTTACAAACAACATACCATATCAATACATAACACTAGTAACCAAAAATCAAAAAGGCATAAATGCTGTAACCTTAAAAAAATGATGTTTCATCTTACAAAAAATTAGATCGACGAAACGCTAAACCAGTTTTCCGTTTGTTAACAAAAGACGTGTGCATTACCGTTCACAGTTTCTCTCGCACTAACCGTTGGTTGAATGAGGCTTCCTATTGGCTTATTGTTTTATATTCACAGACGTCTAGTTTCTTCTATGTGTGCGGTACCCCATCTTACCTCGCTACCCCGTCATGCCCCCCCTTTCCCCTATACTCAATGGCAAAATTTTACATACAAAATTGTATTATAAAATGCAAAATACTTGTCGTATTTTTATTAAGTACATGTGATCCTTATTAGAAATTTCTTAGAATAATTCTTAATAAATACCTAACAATATTGTCACCTGTAGAAAACGAAGATAGTATTTAAGTAAAGAAGATATTTTGACTGTTGACTTGACATTTGACATTTCTTGTGCATACTTAAAAAAAAATCACCTACGCAGTTAGTTGACCTACATTCCCAATGCTCCAAAAAATAATAAGCAAGTACAGCCGCGACAGAAATTAATTCGTTTTGAGGTTTGGACAGAAGTGATTTTGCTTGTTTTTTCATTAGGGATTTGCTACAGTTAAAAATATCAATTTCATTAAAATTTGTGTTATAAATCTGAGGCAAGCGGGAAAAAGGAGCATTACGTGCGCTTCTTGTTTTCGTTGGAGGAATTCTGAGTAATTTTAATGGTTGACGACGGGTGCGACATGCAGGAACATTATACTCAATGCTGTTAACGAGTTCCGTGCAGTCGACGCGGCCAGACACTATGTCACTCAATAGGCATAAGTCGATTAGTTTTCTTCGGTTTTCTAGTGTCATTATATCGTGATGGTTACACGACTCATTATATGTGTGTAGATCGAATAGTTGAAACCGATAATTTAAATGGTTAATAATTTGTTTTTGGATTCTTTCTATACCGTCCTTATAAATGTTGGGGGGACCATATCGGACTGGCGTACTCTAAGATACTGCGAACGTAAGCGTAATATACAATTTTGAGCGTTTTAATGTGGTTAAATGGTTTGCATGTGCGGATAACGAAGCCTAAGTTTTTATAGGCTTTGTCTACAATTTTGTCAATGTGGT